GAGGGGGTGGCTTTTAGGGGAGGGTCCGAAGGGTCTAAATACATGGTGGTTGTTCAGGGTAAAAAAACAAATTTTTTTAGCTAGTTTGGAGCCCAAAAAGTTATTACGTAAGGGTCGAAAATGGACTTTTTGATTTTTTACCAAGAGGGGGTGGCTTTTAGGGGAGGGTCCGAAGGGTCTAAATACATGGTGGTTGTTGAGGGTAAAAAAACAAATTTTTTGAGCTAGTTTGGAGCCCAAAAAGTTATTACGTAAGGGTCGAAAATGGACTTTTTGATTTTTTACCAAGAGGGGGTGGCTTTTAGGGGAGGGTCCGAAGGGTCTAAATACATGGTGGTTGTTTAGGGTAAAAAAACAAATTTTTTTAGCTAGTTTGGAGCCCAAAAAGTTATTACGTAAGGGTCGAAAATGGACTTTTTGATTTTTTACCAAGAGGGGGTGGCTTTTAGGGGAGGGTCCGAAGGGTCTAAATACATGGTGGTTGTTTAGGGTAAAAAAACAAATTTTTTGAGCTAGTTTGGAGCCCAAAAAGTTATTACGTAAGGGTCGAAAATGGACTTTTTGATTTTTTACCAAGAGGGGGTGGCTTTTAGGGGAGGGTCCGAAGGGTCTAAATACATGGTGGTTGTTTAGGGTAAAAAAACAAATTTTTTTAGCTAGTTTGGAGCCCAAAAAGTTATTACGTAAGGGTCGAAAATGGACTTTTTGATTTTTTACCAAGAGGGGGTGGCTTTTAGGGGAGGGTCCGAAGGGTCTAAATACATGGTGGTTGTTTAGGGTAAAAAAACAACTTTTTTTAGCTAGTTTGGAGCCCAAAAAGTTATTACGTAAGGGTCGAAAATGGACTTTTTGATTTTTTACCAAGAGGGGGTGGCTTTTAGGGGAGGGTCCGAAGGGTCTAAATACATGGTGGTTGTTTAGGGTAAAAAAACAAATTTTTTTAGCTAGTTTGGAGCCCAAAAAGTTATTACGTAAGGGTCGAAAATGGACTTTTTGATTTTTTACCAAGAGGGGGTGGCTTTTAGGGGAGGGTCCGAAGGGTCTAAATACATGGTGGTTGTTCAGGGTAAAAAAACAACTTTTTTTAGCTAGTTTGGAGCCCAAAAAGTTATTACGTAAGGGTCGAAAATGGACTTTTTGATTTTTTACCAAGAGGGGGTGGCTTTTAGGGGAGGGTCCGAAGGGTCTAAATACATGGTGGTTGTTTAGGGTAAAAAAACAAATTTTTTTAGCTAGTTTGGAGCCCAAAAAGTTATTACGTAAGGGTCGAAAATGGACTTTTTGATTTTTTACCAAGAGGGGGTGGCTTTTAGGGGAGGGTCCGAAGGGTCTAAATACATGGTGGTTGTTTAGGGTAAAAAAACAAATTTTTTTAGCTAGTTTGGAGCCCAAAAAGTTATTACGTAAGGGTCGAAAATGGACTTTTTGATTTTTTACCAAGAGGGGGTGGCTTTTAGGGGAGGGTCCGAAGGGTCTAAATACATGGTGGTTGTTCAGGGTAAAAAAACAACTTTTTTTAGCTAGTTTGGAGCCCAAAAAGTTATTACGTAAGGGTCGAAAATGGACTTTTTGATTTTTTACCAAGAGGGGGTGGCTTTTAGGGGAGGGTCCGAAGGGTCTAAATACATGGTGGTTGTTTAGGGTAAAAAAACAAATTTTTTTAGCTAGTTTGGAGCCCAAAAAGTTATTACGTAAGGGTCGAAAATGGACTTTTTGATTTTTTACCAAGAGGGGGTGGCTTTTAGGGGAGGGTCCGAAGGGTCTAAATACATGGTGGTTGTTTAGGGTAAAAAAACAAATTTTTTTATATACTTTTGAACCCAAAAAGTTATTACGTAAGGGTCTAATTCTCTTATGTTTTCTATCAATTATTACTTAGGGGTGGTTTATCACCCCTAATATTAATTTTTTTTTGTTTTTATGATTGATATCGTCTTTGTAGGTCAACTTAAAGGTTTTCCAATTGAATATTTTAAAAAACAAAAAAATTTTTTTTTTGTTCATTTGAACGTTCAAAACTTTTGCATCATTGCATCTAGAAACTTAGAAAAATATTCCATGAAGCGAGGGAATTGCTTTTATAATACTCTTTTTTTCTTTTTTTTCTTTGTTTTCTCTCCTCTTTTCTCTTTATTCTCTCGCAAAGAAACAGATCAATAAGAGATTATATGTCTCCTGTAAATTTCTGTCTATATAAATTTCATTCACTATAAATTGTGTACGTGTATGTTTTCGACAAAAAGAAAAAAAACATTTGGTTAATTTATTTTAATTTTTACATTAAAATAAACGCGTTAGGAGAGTAATTGCACGGAGAAAAAAGATTTCTTTTATAAAGTAACTTTTACTACTTTCAGAGTAAAACTGGACCAACTCGAAGTTTCTGCGCATCTCTGGCAATTTTTACTCCAAAAATAGTAAAATTTACTCTAGAAATAGTAAAACTTACTACGGAAACAGTAAAATTTACTACAGAAATAATAAATTTTACTATTTTTGGAGTAAAAATTGCCAGAGATGCGCAGAAACTTCGAGTTGGTCCAGTTTTACTCTGAAAGTAGTAAAAATTACTTTTTCTTTTTCTACGTGTGTTTTATGGAAAGTAAACATTTTTAAAGGAATCAATATATTTATTGATGATTGAGAGACATCAAAGACTTTATCATTTATAGTTGGTTTATGGTGCAAGTTAACATCGCAATCAAGTCTGTGTATGTCATTGCGATGCGCATTGTCCTTCGGGCAATCAGAGGTTTGCGCGTTTTACTGCGTGTACACACATCAAGTGTAAACATATGCTGTTGCCAGCTGCATGATTGTTTTACACATATATAAATGTATGTATAAAATAACTCACACACATTTCCATTTATGTGTTTGCGCGTACAGCTTAATTATGCAAAGTCTTTCATCTTTCCATATCGGATAATTGCAGTATACAACAACAACAACAACAACAACAAGAACGATTTTCGCATCAACGCGAATCGCTTTGCCAACCGAAATTAATTTATACTTAGATGAACATTGAATAGAAAGTTCCAATTGTAAAGGCATATAAACGTTTATTTAAAAGGAGCGCTTTAGTATATGCGAACTTTCTGAATTTTTAAAAATTTTCTATATTAGTTTTGATAAAACGCGATTTTTTAATTAAAATAAATTTTAAACGTTGCTTGAAAGGAATGAAATTATAAAATTAAATATACACTGAAAAAAAAATCCTCTTGTTTCAAAAGGATTCCTCTTATATTTCAATGCATATTTTCCTCTAGTATATGCTGCAAAAGGATGTCCTCTTGGTTTAAGAGGATTGTCCTCTATGTAAAATTATTCCCCTTAATTTAAGAGGATACTCTTATTTTATAGAGGAAAATATCATCTTAAAAAGAATTCTGACACAGAAAATTAAAAGGCATTAAAATAAGCTGCAACGCTTCTTATTTTTATCCAATTTTGCTTATTTTAATCCATTTTGGTATTAAAATAAGCAAAATTGGATTAAAATAAGAAGCGTTGCAGCTTATTTTAATGCATTTTAATTTTCTGTGGAAATAATGAAAATACAATCATCTAATTTGTATGTCATAGATATAATCTATAAAATTAAAAAGGAATAAAATTTGTTATTCCACACTGAAAAAAAATTCTAGTTAGAATAACCAGAATTCTAGTTAGGGTATATTTAACATTTTGATTCTGGTTAGGTTAACCAGAATTCTGGTTATTTTAACGAGAATTCTATTTAATTCAACTAGAATTCTGGTTAACATAACTACACGGAGAAAAATGGAAAAACGAATAAAGTAACTTTTACTACTTTAAAAGTAAAATTGGACCTGTCCGAAGTTTCTGCGCATCTCTGGCAACTTTTACTCGAAAAATAGTAAAATTGAGTATAAATAAATTTTATTTATTTTATTTTTTATTTATTTTTATTTTTTTTTATTTTATATAAATAAATTTTTTATAAATAAATTTTGTTGAATAAATCAACTAAAGCTATTTTTATTAATATTTTTATGCGAAAAACATATATAATTCATTAAATTTGAAAATTTATTTTAAATAAATTTTCAAATAAAATTAAAATAAATAAAAAATCGTAATAAAATAAATTTTTAAATAGCATAACTTCAAAATTATTTAAATTTTCTTAAAAATTACTTTTAAAAATTTCTTTTACATTCAAAAATAGGCACGTATATTGTGTAAGCTGCAACTCTATCAAGATATTTAAAAGATTATTATCCATTTTGGTTTATTCCCCCCTTTTTTTTTTACACAGAAATTAAAATTTTTTCACGCATGATATATGCGATTTATGACGCGACGTAAATAATATGACGCAATCATCTTTGCGCATGAGCGACTTTTTATGGAAAATCCTCTTAGAAAATTTAGAGGAATATTCTTAAACATAGAAGATTATTCTAAATTCTAAGATTATTATTTTAATTCTAAAAAGATTTTTCTGAATATAAGAGGAATGCTCTAGAATAGTCCTTTTTTGTTTCGATCCTCTTGAAATTAGAGGAAAATATTCTCATTTAAAGAGTATAATACTCTTGTTTTAAGAATAAAAAATTCAAGAGGATTCTGTAAGAGGAATTTTCCTCTGAATACTCTCTAAATTTGAATTAGTAAAAAAGTTTACTAATTTGAATTAGTGACTCACTTTTTGCTTCTAAATTAGTAAAATGTGAGCACAGAAAATTAAAAGGCATTAAAATAAGCTGCAACGCTTCTTATTTTAATCCAATTTTGCTTATTTTAATACCAAAATGGATTAAAATAAGCAAAATTAGATTAAAATAAGAAGCGTTGCAGCTTATTTTAATGCCTTTTAATTTTCTGTGAGTCATTAATTTAAATTAGTAAACATTTTTACTAATTCAGATTTAGAGAGTACAAGAATATTTTTTTTTCGGTGTAATTTGATGATTTAATTTTTAGTTAATTTTTTGGAATTACTAATTTTTTGTTTTTTTAATTTTCAGTGTGGAAAGGGACCGACTTCGAGAGCGGGAACGACAAGCCCGCGCAGCGATGTCGGTCCAGGCGGAGCAGGCAGCAGCTGGAGGTGCTCCTGACGCTCGGCACGGTCATCACAATCATGGACATCATGCCGATTCGCACGCTGCTACCGCTTCCCTCTTTCGTGCTCCTGTTAAGGTAAGATTTCTATTTACTTTACTATTTTTCTTATTTTTTTTTTTTTCCAAAATCGAAAAATTTTTTTCTACCAAGAAAACTTTTTTTTTTTATCTTTTACATTCATTTTTAAAAATTTTTCTCTTTTTTCTTTCTTTGCAAAAAAATTTTCTTTTTAATTCGAGTTGAGAATAAAAATTTGTTTTCTTGTTAAAAAAAAATCTTTTTTTAAAAATTGATTTGAAGAATTGTGAATAAAAATTATAATGGCCAAAGATTCTTCAAATCGTTAAAAAAAAAAAAAACTTTGTTTCATTTAGAGAAAAAATGAAAAGAATTTGCTTCCGATGAAACAAATATATATATATATATATATAACTGATAACATCTGCTTCACCGGAAACTAAAAATTTTCACATCACAGTTTCTCCTTTTACAAATATTGATTTTAAATATTACGTGTTTATAGCTTTTAAACGCTCGAATGAGTGAATTTTTTTTTTATTGATTTAAATTTTACCTTTCACTGTATATATTATTTAAAAAAAAATTGTGTTTAAACAGCTTCGTATTCATTTCGTTTTTTAATTTGATTTTAGAGACTTTTTAAATATTGCAAATAGATAAAAATGCTTTTAAGGTTAATTCAATTTTTTTGCAATATGGCAAGACAAATATTTTTCATTCAAGGGAAATAATTTTTTTTTTTATTTCTTATTAAATTTTCTCTGCGGCGAGTTAATATATAGGAAAATTTGAAAAATGTTTCTTATTTTAAGATATTTTATTTTGTATTGCAATAAATTTTCAACACTGATCTTATTTTTATAAATGAAACTAAAAATTACTTTTAATTAAATTTGGTAATTTAATTAATTAATTAATATATAATTTAATATTAACTAATTAATTTTGGTACTTTTTGGAAGGAATGATGTCACAAAATATATTGCGTCAAATAATATTATTTTGTTACATTTTATTTCTTTCACAAAAAATCGCGTTTATTCAAATTTTTATAAAAACAATAACTTAATTTTTTTTCTTGAAAATTTTTTTAAAATTTTTAAATTTTTTTCAATTAAAAAAATATTTAAATTATAAACAAATTATTTATTGTTTTTATTAAATAATTTTTTAACCATTACGTTATAATATTTTTAACCATTATTAGTATTAAATTAATTATTACTATTATTGTTATTACTATTATTATTATTTAGTTATTTGAATATTTACGAGCAGTGCCCTTTCGTACAATATAAATATTATTTTTATTATTATTATTAGTATTATTACACTGAAAAAAATTTATTTGATTTAAATAATTGGTTGGTTACTTGATTATTATCAAATAATTTATTTGTATCAAAATTATTTTTTTCAGTGTATTATTATTATTATATAAAATAATTATTAAATTAAATCACTCAATTTACTATCAGCAACATTAAAAAAATTACAAATATAGAGAAATGTTTCAAGGAATAAAATAATTATTTGTTTATAAAAATTGGATAAAAATTGCGATTTTTGTCTGAACTGAAAGGAAAAAAAAACGAAGCTGAAGTACGCAACGTTTCTATAAACGATTTTTAAATAAATAATTTTTTAAAATAAAAAATTCTATAATTTTTTGCCTAAAAAATATTTTTTTTATAATTTGTTAATTAATGAAAACTCCAAGAAATATTTTTTAGGTCAAAAAATTAGAGAATTTTTCATTTTAAAAAATTATTTCTTTAAAAATCGTTTATTCACTCAGAGAAATAGTATATTTATCTCAGAGCCTACTAATTCATTTATTTGTTGTAAATATATTTTATTTTATTTGAATAAAAAATTTATTTAAACTAAAGAAAAATTTATTTATGACAAATAAAAATTTATTTATGACAAATAAAATTTTTATTTACATCAAATAAATAAGTTAGTAGGCTCTGAGACAAATATACGCTTATTTAATTCAAATATATTTTATTTGATTCAAATAAATCATTTTTCTGAGTGTATAAACGTTGTGTACTTCAGCCTCGTAAAAAAAAATAAAGACGGTAAAAATAATTATTTGATGATAGTTTTTTAACTAAACCCTTTTTTTCGAAATGGTTATATTATCAAATTTTTCATAATTAATTAATTTTTCTAATTAAATTAATAATTATTTCCGAAATAAAGAATAAATATTTTTATAATGTATCAAAGAAATTGCCATTTATTCTTTAAATAAGTTTTTGAAATTACCCACCGTTTAATTATCGTAATTTTGGGGGAAATTGGCCAACGCTATATATATATATGGGGAGCTAAATGAATCTCAATTAATTTTATGGATATACCCCTAGCTTACAAGTCGTTGTTGAGATAAGTCTATAGAATTGAGGAGGGCGTAATGCGTGTTGAAAATCGGAAGTGTGAAGGGATGATGAGAGGGTGGAGAGGGGGGAAAGGAGGTATGGCAGCTGTCCACAAAGCATCGGAAACAACCCTTGGTTAGGTTTGAAGCCGGTTAGGTTTGAGGATATATCCATTGGACCTCTCTCACATTGCTCGTAAACTCCATGTGTATATATATATACACACATGTACATCTTCTCTCGTTTTCTTTTTTCTCCCTGAATTTTTTTTCGTCCTCTCTCTTTCTCTCTCTCTCTCTCTCTCTCTCTCTCTCTCTCTCTCTCTCTCTCTCTCGTATTTTTTTTCTCCTTTTCTCTCTTTTTTTATTTTCCTCCCGCCCCCCCCCTTGCCCCCCCTATTCTAAGCCTTTTGAGATTTATCGTTTACTGAAGATACACTATCCTGTCGATAGATAAAATCGCTAGCAATCTCGTGGCATTTGAAACGGAAGAGAATTGCCGAACGGCGTAAAACACACCACTGAAGGAAAGTGCATTGAAAATCAATGTTTACGAGTCGACGTATCTCACTACTTGTTACGACACTCTCTATATACAGCTGTGATAATACCGGCTAAAAGCAAAAATAATTTACAAAACGCGAATTACAGTAAAAAAAAAGAAAAAAAAAACTCTTACATTGCGGTCATTGTCAAACAAAAAATCACAAATGTTGAATAAATATTTGAAAAATTCACTCTCTTTTTTGTTTTTGTTTTTTTTTTTTGAAAGAAAGTTAAAATAAAATATTTCCCGCGGTTATATATATTTATGTTTAATATGTAAATGTGGTGGTAAAACGGTTTGATAAAATAAAATTTAATAAACAGATATGATATTATAACTTGATGAATTAATAAAAGTTTTAATATAATATAAAGCAACAGGTGTTTGTGGATTTGTATAAAAACATTTTTAAGAGAATTTAATGAGGGAGATTAAAATTTTATTTTATTCGACGGGGATGGAAAAATTCTTTTAGTATAAATAAATCTTTGTGAGAATAATATGTAAATAGAAAAAGAAAAATTGTATCATCTGTAAGTTAATTATTATTTTTTATTTTTTTATTCTTTATATTTTTATTATTTTTACTATTTTTTAATTTTTTTTTAAATTAATTTTTTAGTTTTTTTATTTATTATTATTATTATTATTTTTTAATTTTTTTTAAATTAATTTTTTAGTTTTTTTTATTATAAATAATAATATAGTTAAATAAAAAATTATTAGAATCAAAAATAAATAAAAAAAGATTTTATTTTTCATTTATTGAAGAGAAAGAGAGAAATAAATTTGATCACAATTAATAATTAGAATTTAATTAAATTATGGGTGATTGAAAACAATGGCATTTTAAATTAATAGAAATGAATATAAAAATATTATTCAACAAGTGATTTTTCATTGTTTTTAAATTTATTAACCACGATTTTTATTTATTAAAATAAAAAAAAAAAAAGTTTCCGATAAATATTTCCAAAAAAGTTGTTTTCATTTTTAATATAGATAAATTATTAATAAGAAAAGCTATTAATAGTGGGGTTTTTTTTCCCAACAGTTTGTAATTACAGATTAATCTAATTTAAGTTATTTCTAGACAATTACAAATGTGTCACATATCATGTGATACTTCAAGGACGAGTAGAAAATAATTTTGAATTCGTGTCTTATAGTATCACGCGAGGCGTACGTGGAACATTTTTGTTTGTCATTTTTTTTTCAAAGAAACACAAATTTATTTATATATATATATTTTTTTAGCTTTGATTGAAAAATGTAAATTAATAAATTGATTATACATTAATAATTTACTAATTAATTATTAAATTATATTTACTAATTATGTAAATTATATATAATTATTATATAAATAACATAAATATGTTATAATAATTTATAATCTATAAATTGTTGTATAAATTAATAATTTATAAATTATATTATAAATTAATTTAATTCAGTTATAAATTATTAATTAAGTTATAAATTAATTTATTGAATTATAAATTAATAATTAATTAATTTAGAAAATAATTTATTATTAATTTTTAAGAGTTTTAATTAACTCAATTAATTTATATAAAATTGAATATATTTTTTTGAAAATACTTTTTCAATATATATTAAATAAATAAATAAATAAATTTCTTAGCATAAAAAAAATTTGAGACAACAATGTTGAGAAATAAAAATTTTTTAAAAAAATAAACCTGTTAGTGATAATAATTTTTTTTTTTTTTTTTTCACTCGAGAATAGAATGAAGTGTATAACCGATGACACGTAAATTGAAAAAATACACATATAGAAAGAAGTGGAAGGTAAAAAATTTATACCACAATACAGAAAAATGTTGATAGTTGAAAGCTATTGAATATTTAAAGGACATTTTGTAAAAATTCTTGTCTGTATATATATATTCAGAGATAGAGGTTCGTTTGATTTATTTTCCCCACTCGTAATCTTGTTACGAATCAGAAAAATTTCAAGAATCAAATCTTATTTTCGAGATTTGAGCTTATATGGTCTTTCAAAACATGACATTTTTCTTCTCTGACTTTTTGCTCAATAGATATATATATTATAATCGAAATCAAATATATATAATCTTCTTTTTAGAAGAT